AGAACTGATCCCAGGGACAGAGCCCGGGAGCGCTCGTGCATTTTGGGGCCATTTTGGGTCATCTTGGGTGCAGCCCTGGCTGGGCTCTGGTGCTGCCCAAGGTGGATCCATGGAGGAGATGCTTTGGATAAATCCCTGCTTTATTCTGGGACTCTGCCCAGCCTCTGCTCCAGGGCAGCCGGCACAAGAAGCAAAGTTTGAGGAGCAAGGACAAAATGCCTCCTGTAGCAGAGGTTACAGCAAAAGCAGAAGGAATTGCAAATGCTGATTGGCTTTATCTTGCAATACCCTGCACCTTGGTCAGCCCTGCTGGAAGGAGAAGGAGCCAGGCTGGCTGGAGAACACAAAGAGAGCTCAGGAGAGTGTGGGAGGAATCCGGGCCAGGTCTCAGCGGTGTCCAACACCCACAACAATACTTTGCAGAGAAGAGTTTGGCAGCAGGAGTTTATTCAAACCCAGGTAAAACCATTTGGCTGTTTGCTGTCAAAGAGGATTCCTGAAAAAGCATTTCCAATCAAACCAACAGCTTCACTAAACAAAACAAACAAAGCCACCTACAACACTGCTCAGTTATCTTCATTTAATGTGAACCTCAGAATGGAGCAGCTGCCACATTCAGGTGACAATTTGGTTGACGTTTTGACACATCATTCACACTCAGAGCATTGTTCTTCTCTTGGAAGCAAACAGATTTGTGCTTTAAATATCCCACTTCATGCAGTGATACCTGCAGGCACAAAGCCTTGGGTGTCACTCATGAAAAGAAACATTTAGTTGAGTTGTAAATTATAAGACAATGGAATTTGAATCAAAATGAAGAGTCAAATATTGAGTGGATGCCACCAAAAGGAGACATTAAACACTTTTTTTTTAATTAAGAAGAAATAGGAATAGCACCAAGCAGGATAATTAGAATTTTCAGCACGTTTTCCCTCCAGCACTTGTTGAAGCCCTGGGAAGAGTCACTGGCAGCAGTGAAATGGGCACCACCACCCAGCCCATGCTCTGATCCTGAGCTGCAGTGCTGCAGGACACTTGGAAACAAAACCTGTCAGAGGAGGACTCACTCATGTCCAATTTAGCCTCACCATAAGAAAATAAATGCTGCCAGGAGCAGGCATCCAGCTCCTGTATGCTATTTCTGTCAGGAAAAAAAATTCTGAGAATGTTCCTTTGTTACATTTAATTCAAGTTCATGCCTATATCCATATTTAATGTCTCATTTTGACTCAAATCCTCCTGTCCAACACTGAAATCTTATTGTGCCTTTGAAAATCACTCCAAACTGACAGAGAGAACATTCTCACCTGAAGCTCATGCCAAGCCTCACAAAGCTTAGTTTCTTTCCTTTGCTTATTTCCATTCACACAGAGGCAATTTAGGAAATCAGAGATTTTTAGAGGGGTTTGAACTGAAGGCCTGTTTCCCTTTGAGGACAGAGTCACACAGCAACAGCACAGACAACAATGCTGGGAATAGAACTGAGGCTCCCAAGAGAGGAAAAACAAACCTTCTGAGCCCTTTCAGGCTTTCCAAGACCATAATCCACAGAACCCCAGACTGGTTTGGGCTGGAAGGGACCTGAAGCTCCTCCTGGCCATAGCAAGGAGATTTCCCACAGCCCAGGCTGCTCCAGGCTGGCCCTGCTGCCTGTTCTGGAGGGAGTGCAAAGGAGATTCCACCAGGGATTCAGAGCTTTTCCAGTGGAGCTCTTCCCCTTCTTCCCAATAGATTTTACCTGGAAAGAACACCTGGCCAGCTTCCTTTCCTGAGCTGTTAATAAACTTTCTGAGTCCTTTTAGCCGTCCCAAGACCATAATGCACAGAATCCCAGAATGGTTTGGGTTGGAAAGGACCTGAAGCTCCTCCTNAAGAAGAGAGAATTGGAATTCTCCAACTCAGCCATGACTTTGACTAAGGTTCCTTCCCACCCACTGTCACTCATTTATCAATATTCTGTTTCCTCAGTCACACAAAAATTTCTGCAAGCTCCCACAGCCAGTTTTAATTAGAATATTCTGAGTCATTTTGCATCAGCAGCAAATTGTCACCTATTTACTTCCTTTTCCAGGCCACCCTTGGAATTGCCTCCACATGAAAACCTGTCCTTCAGTTTCACTTCCTTTTAACAGAAAATTGAACAAGAGTTTCATAGAGAATTGAACAAGAGTTTGGATTAAAAATCAGGCTTTTTAGGCATTCACATTTTTAGTAAGTTGTCAATGTCTAAAAAACCTGATTTTTAATCCAAACTCTTGTTCAATTTCCTAAAAAGCTTTTTTATATATTTTTAAGAGGCTTTTTTGAAAAACCTTTATGTAATAGGTAAATTACATCATCCTCATACTTGTTAACTCCTCCTAAAATCTTCCAGGTATTGTTTGCCATTATAAAAGCTGGAGAGAACTCCCCAATACCTGTTTGTGCATCCCTCTGAGCACCTGAATTTATTTTCTGCTGTACTGAGTCAGATTTGGATTCAGCTGCACGCTGGCACAAAGGCTGGGCTGAGAATTCCTCCCTGCACCCAGGCAGATCCGAGTGCTGTCCCACAGCAGCAGCCTGGTGATTTCATGATTTCACATTTTCATTCCCCTGCAAGCACTGGGTGAGGACCATCTGCTCTCTGTGCACTGCTCCTGCTCAATTTATTGATTTGTCTCCAAACTCGAGGGTGCTGAAGAGAACAAAGCTCTTATTCAAAGGTCAACCCAGTCCAACAAGCCCTACAGAAAACACATTTTGCAGGATCATTTACCTAGGAAAACTCAACTACAGATGTGATGCCTGCTTTTGTGGGGTTTTGCCATCATTCTGGCTGGGTTATGTGAAGGAACAGAAGGGAATCTGACCAAAGTCATAATACTAAAGCTGCTCTATAGCCCAAAATTGTGCTACAAATCATTTGCATTTATTAAGCAATTTACTTTTATACACACCCCAGCTGAAAACACATGAACACAGAGTTCAGCATCTATAAATACATCCCTGCTCCTGCAATAGGTAATCTTTCCATTTTAAATCCATTTCTCCTATAAAAAACACACAACAGTCCCTCAAGTTCCACAGTCACACACATTCTCTTTATCAGTACAATTAAACCTATCCTGGTTTTCTCTATTTTTCCTTTCCCAGTTGTAAAAAAATATCCTGGAACTCAATTTATTAGAGTTTTGTCTACTGGAGGCTGCATTTCTAATAACCTAAAATAAGTAAATCCCCCTCATTGGATGGAAATGGACACACCTGAAGTTGGAATTGTACAGAATAGTGTTTGGTGCATCCTGCAGGAGCTTTTAGCTCCTGGCTGCCCCACACACAAAAGTACTTGATTATTTGGGGTTCCTGAGCTGGATCCCAAGAATTTGGAAAGGAGCAGCCTCCCTGCTGAGGGCTGCCAGCCAGAGAGGGGCAAAAACCCTGGTGGAGGCAGGCCCTGCTGAGGGACAGAGCTCAGGGCACTGCTGAGCAGCAGGGAGTGCAGAAAGGGCTGTCTGGGGGAAAGGATACCTCAGTCCTGGAGGCCAGAAATTCCTGTAAAAAGTGCAAAATCCAGAAATCTCACCTGTAAAGTCCATCTCTGCAGTGTGATCGGGATTTTCTT